TTCCGGAGCCCAGCAGGTTGAGGCTGCGGTGGCCGGGAGTGGACACTGCACTCCAGTCTGGGCAACAGAGTGAGACTCCAACTCAAAAAAAAAACAAAAAACAAAAAAAAAACTGCATCCCAAAGATGGAATGCTAAGATACTTCAAGCCGGAGAGAGAAACAGATTGATTTCTATTCTTTCCTTTGGTTTCATGTGGTCTGAAAAGTATGTCTTCATTTTTGGTTGTACTACTGCATGTGGTTTCTAAATATGCCAAACGATAGTCATTAATTTGTTTCTCTTATGATACAGAACATCATCAACTGTTAGAAGACATACCCCTGTAGAGTTATTTATACCACAGTTTGATCTTTAGAAATCCCAACATCTTATGTTTGACACTAAATATTATATGATACTTGGCCTGAAGTGATAGGTTCAGTCTACTGAAGACACATTCTTTAAGCAAGAACACAGAAATGTCCTTTACATTATATCTCCAGGACTCTATCTATAGAGAGTCCTTTCACCTTCTAGTTGGACAAAATCACTGCCATAAAGAGAGTAAAAATTAGCGCTTGGCACAAAGTTCTTGACAACTTTTTATTCTATCAATGAACATCTATTCCACAAAGGAGCAGGTTTTTGTTTTTTTTCTTTCTCGTTTAATAATTATTTTGTGAGCTTGACCTAGATTGGCAAAGATGAGTTGATGTGACAGGCCAAGAAGGGTACTTTCAAGAGTCCTGAAGAAGTGTTTTTATTTTCTTTCTTTCTTCAAAAACAGGTAGGCACCTATCTCCCTTTGACAGTCAGAGTAGTCTGGCAAGAAAAGTGGTCTTGGACTCACCTATTTTCTAGACTGTATGTAAATGGCATACATTTCATGGTTGCCAATTGATTACATTCCCAATTTTCACTATTCCTTCAACTGTTGTGTAGATAAAGCAGAGTGTGACCTGACATTCAGAGGTACTCTTCTTGGCCTCTCATCTTTGCCAATGTAGATCAAGCTCATAAAATAATTATAAAATTTTAAAAAATCTTGATTCCTTGTGGAATGGATTTTCACTGATAGAATAAAAAGTCGTCAAGAACTTTTGCCATATATATCTACCTCAGATATGCCAAGAGCTAATTTGCTCTCCTTATGGCAGTGATTTTCACCAACTAGAAGAAGAAATACCTGCTGCTGCACTTGATGGTGCTTGCTTGCCCACACTGTGTGCCACAGACACAAGATATCCTTCAGTTTCTTTTAATAAGAAAATTTTGCTCGCAGTTTGTTCTATTTTTCCTCCTTTGAGTATAACACTTGTCACTAACTTTGCGGACGGTTTTTAAGTTTCTTGGCAATTTGTGTGACTAGTACCTCTTTTTGGTTCAAGTTTTGGTCACTTCTTTAAAGATAAAAGTTAAAAACAATTCATTTCATATCAGAAAAAAATTATATTCTGACGTTTTAGAAAAACCTGGACTGGTTCAATAAATCACTGCTTTTAAAAAAGTGACATGAAGCTTTGATGGCTTCATGCCACTATTTGACATGGTTTCATTACAAAGAATGCACTGAAAATAGAGGGAAATGGATTACTGGTCAAATAAAATCTAACTATCAGATATTCATCATCATATTACCTGTCTACATTTTTCTTTTACAGCTGCTTGTGCAAAAGCATCAAACTAAAAAAACGTTCTCTTGTCCGAGGACACAGATTCACATTCTATATTTATACCAGGGTCCTATTTGCTATTTTGTTTATAATCCTATCCTAAATTGTAGCATAGATGTTACTATTTTCATCCCTACTTTTATGCTTCAATAAATTACTTTGAGTTACTGCTTCACTTGGGATTTGGGGTTCTAATGCAAAACAATACTACATAAATGTATATTTAATAACTGTAATCAGTCGGCACAGTGGCTCATGCCTGTAATTCTAGCACTTTGAGGCGAGAAGATTGTCAGAGCCCAGGGGTTCAAGACCAGCCCGGGCAACTTGATGAGACCTCGTTTCTACAGTAAATCAAAAATTAGCTGGGTGTGGTGGTGCATGCCTGTTAGTTCCAGCTACTTGGAAGGCGGAGACAGAAGGATAGCCAGAATCCAGCAGGTCGAGGTTGCGGTGGCCGTGAGCATGCCACTAACACTCCAGTCTGGGGGACAGAATGAGACTTCAACTCAAACAACAACAAAAACTGTAATCAATAATATAAATAGATATTAGCTGAGTAAACTGAACATCTTATAAATGTTGGCTGAGACAAACACAATGTAATAATGACTGGAAATGGAATGGGATAGCTGGGAAAATTATCATTAACAATTTTTTTTAGCAATTTTTTTTTTTGAGTTAGGGTCTCACTCTGTCACCCAGGCTGAAGTGCAGTGGCATGATCAGGGCTTACTGTAGCCTCAATCTCCTGAGCTCAGGCAATCAGTCCACCTCAGCCTCCTGAGTAGTTGGGACTACTGGCATGTGCCACCAATCTCAGTTACTTTTAGAATTTTTTGTAGCAACGAGATCTCACTATGTTGCTCAGGTTGCACTAGAACTCCAAGGCTCAAGCGACCCTCCCACTTCAGCCTCCTAAACTACTGGGATTACCATGGCGGACTGCAAATTTCTAACACATATATAAAGAATATCACTTCAAAACTTTTCCTTTGAAACAATCAAAAGGCCTATGTGCCAGTGTATGGGTCTTCAAGACTATACTCTAAGAAATCTGCCCCAGGTCAACCTGACTTGGCAGTAACATGGTTGCTTAATGAAAAAGCATAAGAAAAGAAATATCAAATGATTCAGAGAGCAGGTGTTCCTCTTGGTATGTGAGAATACACATTGTAGACTGAGCCCCCTGCCTTTGGAGAGACAGGCCTACCTGAGGGTTCTCTTCCCGTTTTGGTTTGGGTGCAGCAGGTGGGGTGATGGTACGGCTCTCTGTTTGTTTCTCATCTGTTTCTGTGTGAGATTTAACTGTCTGGGAGAAAAAAAATTAAATTAAAATTCAGAATTCATTATCTAAAGGAAAAAAAATCAACAGTTTAACAGAAGTCAATAAGAATGTACTCAAATTTGGATCATATTAATAAAGGAGTCAATATTATGGATTTCATTGGGGGAAGAGGGAAGTGAAATGTAAAGCCCCAGGTGAAGTTATGAAATTACATAAATACAGTGAATATTAATCTATAAATACAATAGCCCAAATTATAAGGAAAGAAAAATTCATGGTTTAATCTCTATGTATAAAAATGAAATACAAGCTGCTCTTTCTGACTTCAATGCATTTTAGGATGTGGGGGTAGTTTCCCAGAAACAAGCCCACAGATGTTATATACAGGTCACGTTCCAGACCACAGCATGCTTAAGATCAGAAAGATGTTGGAAACATTTTATGTACACACTCTTCTATTTCAGAGATATTCGTAATCTAAGAGAGTCTCAGAAGTACCCTTACTTGGAATAGTGAAAGCCTGCCTATATCACCCATTAGAGAAGAAGTTAAATTGCCAAGGAAGGGCCACCTGGTAACAGTGTGACATCCTAATTATTCCCGACTTCTCCAGAAGCATCCACTCACGCAGAGGAAACACTATACCGTCTTAAACACAAAAGGTAGTTAGAACACTGGTAGACGGGCTTGCATTACTATTTTAAACATGACCCAATGGGTAATTCATTTTATGAAGCCCCCTGTAAATACTGAAATAATTTTAGAACAGTGGATATCCAACTGTAACACAAATGCAAACCTAGTTTACTTTTTTAAAATTAAAAAAATGTAGGAGTAATGGTCTTTTTTTTTTTTTGAGTTGGAGTCTCACTCTGTCGCCCAGACTGGAGTGCAGTGGCCGCTCCCGGCCACCGCAGCCTCGGCCTGCTGGGCTCCGGCGATCCTTCCGCCTCAGCCTTCCCAGTAGCCGGAATTACAGGCATGCACTACCACGCCCGGCTGATTTTTTAATTTATTGTAGAGATGAGGTCTCACTGCCCAGGCAGGTCTCGAACCCACGGGCTCAGGCAATCCACTCACCTCAGCCTCCCAAAGGCATGGGATTACAGGCTGAGCCACCTAGCCCGGCAGTAATGGTCTTTTTATATGACAACAATAATTAAATAAATAAGAACACAATTGTCTGGTTGTTGATGGACATGAGCTAAGTGAAAGACTTTTATTCTACAAACATCAGAAATTCTCAAAAATCATTATGCTGGAAATATCTTACTAGGTCTGAAAAACCAACACAAACACAAGGATCTTTCACTTTTTTCCTGGCCGCTTCTAGGTTTCCCTTTTACTTCTTACGTTATTACATAGGGAAACTATAAGCAGCTGCCTTATCAATACTGTGGCAACCACTGCTCTGGGGCACAAATGCTGCCTGGTACTTTTTTCCCCTGCTGGTGTCCTGTCATATTTCCCCTTTTACACTAAGAGCTGTTCAAGAGTGGGGATTTTTTTTCATATACTCCTTGGTTTTGGACCCCTTTGTGGCTAGTATAGTACCTCATGTAGAGCAAGTACACAGTAAAGAGATGACCGACCTTCTGCGTAAAGAACACGACCTAAGGGAGAATCACTCAGGTCTTTCCCCACCCCCCTCTCTCTCACCCACACACCAAAAAGGACAAATTTCCTCCATAAATCAAACTACCAGTGGGAAAGTAGCTCATAGTGACTTTTAAGTCCTGGATGCCTGGAAAGCTTATTTTCATGGCTTTTTGAATGTGGAAGGACAGAAGTATGAGGAAGGAGGGAAAAGAAAAGGTCAACTGTAAGGGTGTGCTGCTCCGTTCCAAGGCACGGTGTGAAGTTTCCTGGAGTTTCTTATTTCCACTTCTAATGCTGTGTAAAGCACTTCGTGGCAATGCCTTTGGGGAAGAGCAAATCAATTCCTCTCCACTAGAAAATTAGAATCTATGGTTCAAATTTCTCTCTTTCGAGGAGGAAAAGCACAATTATCTCAGTGTTTAGATAAAGAATACAAAAGAGTATCCAAATAAATAAATAAATAAAAGTAATACAATCAAAACTTTAGGGAGGGCGTCTTTCTTGCTTGGGGAAAGCTGGATGCTATGTTGTAAGCAGCACTACAGAGAGACCCAAGTGGTAAGGACGGAATCTCTAGCCAACAGCCAGTGAAGAAGCAGGGCCTGCCAACAACTATATAACCAAGCTCAGAAGCGATCATTTACCTCTACATGAGCCTTAAGATCACTACAGTCCTAGTCAACCATTCTGAAAACTTGTGAGGGCCCTTGAGCCAGAGCCACCCAGTTAAGCTGCAGACCAGAAGGCAGCAGAATGATATATTCAAGGTATGAGGGTGGGGGTGGGGGTGGGGGTGGGGGACTCTATCAATCAAGAATTCTAAATTCTGCAAAACAATTCTTTAAAAATGGAGAAATCAGGACATTCACAGATTAACAAAAAGTAGAAGGCATTCACTGCTAGTACCTGCCCTAAAAGAAACATTAAAGGGAGTCCTTCAGGCTGAAACGAAAAAACACTAGACAGTAACTTGAAGTCATATGAAGAAATGAGAACTCCAGTAAAGGTAATTGCATGAGTAAATAAAAGAGCTATATTATTGTACTTTCTGCTTTTAATTTCTCTTTGTTATATATATGACTTAAAAGACAAATACACAAAATAATTGTAAATCTATATTAGTAAGCACACAATGTATAAGATGTAATGTGTGACAATAATATAATGAGATGGATAAAGATATACAGAAGAAGAGATTTTTAAAATCTAAGTTGGGATTAATTCAAGCTAGATTGTTAAAAAAAATTATGAATGTTAACTGTTATCCCCATGGTAACCATTAAGAAAATAAATATACAGAAAAGGAAATGAGAAAAGTATGAAAGGAGTACACTAGAAAAAAATACCAAACACAAAAGAAGACAGTATTTGAGGAAAAACAAAAAAGGCATAAGAGAACAAAAAAGACATAAGATATGTAGAACACAAATAGCAAAATGGCATTAGCCCTTCCTTATCAGTAATCACTTAAATGTAGCTGAATTAAACTCAGCAATAAAAAACAGAATGGTGGAATAGATAAAATACATGATTTAACTATGTACTGTATGTGGGAGACTCATTTTAGAGCAAAAGACCAAAAAAGGATTAGAAAAAGATACTTCATGCAAATAGTGACCAAAAGAGTGCAGGATTGGCTATACTACTATTAAACAAGAGTAACTTAAAATCAACAATTGTTACAAGAGACAGTCACTATATACTGACAAAAGAGTCAATTAAAAAAGAAGACATAACAGTTATAAACATATATGCACCAAACAGCAGAGCCCCAAAGTATATAATGCAAATAATAACACAATTGAAAAGAAAAAGTTCTACAATAATAGCTGGAGATTTCAATATCCCACTTTGAATAATGGATAAAACTCAGATAAAAGATTAATAAGGTCACAGGATACCTGAACGACACTATAAACCAACTAGACTGATCAGACATATAAAGAACACTGCACTCAACAGCAGCAGCCACATAGTTTTATCAAGTGTACATGAAAAGTTCTCCAGAATAAACCATATGTTAGGCCACAAAACAAATCTTAATACATTTAAAAAGATTGGAATCATATAAAGTATCTTCCCTGGCCACAATGGAAAAAATGATAGAAATTAATAACAGAAAGAAAATCAGAAAACTCACAAGTACGTGGAAATTAAATAACATACTCGGCCGGGATCGGTGGCTCAGCCTGTAATCCCTTGCTTTGGGAGGCCAAGGTGAGTGAATTGCCTGAGCCTGAGGGTTTGAGACCCACCTGGGCAACTTGGCGAGACCTCATCTCTACAACAAATCAAAAAAATTAGCCGGGCATGGTAGCGCACGCCTGTAGTTCCAGCTACTTGGAAGGCAGAGGTGGAAGGATCACCGGAGCCCAGCAGGTCGAGGCTGCGGTGGCTGGGAGCGACCACTGCACTCCAATCTGGGCGACTGAGTGAGACTCCAACTCAAAAAACAAAACAAAACAAAAAAAACCCCAAAAAAAACACAACATACTCTTAAATAACAAATGGATCAAAGAAGAAATTAGTAGAGAAATTACAAAAGACTTTGAGGGAAATGAAAATAAAAATACATCATACTAAAATGTGTATGATGCTGGGAAAGCAGTGCTCAGAGGGAAATTTATAGCTGTTAACAGTTTACATTAAAAATATCTCGGCTGGGCACGGTGGCTCACATCATCTCAGCACTTTGGTAGGCTGAGGCAGGCATGAGGACTGCTTAAGCTCAGGAGCTTGAGACTAGCCTAGGCAACATAGCGAGACCTTGCCTCTACACATTTATACAAATAAGATGATTTCAAATCAATAACCCAAGAAACAGAAAAAGAACTAAATTCAAAGTTAGCAGAAGAAAGGCCATAATAAAGACTAGTTCATGAATGAAATAGAGAACAGAATCACCAAAAGAAGACTCTTTGAAAAAAAAAAATCAGCAAAGTTGACAAACCTTTGGTTAGATTAACTAGGAGAAAAGGTACAAATAATTAAAACAAAAAATGAACGTGGGAACATTACCATCAATCTTAAAAAAATAGAAATAAGAGAATGAACTGAGCAATTTTAACAATTGCTGCCAACAAACTAGATAACATAGGTGAAATGGACAAATTCTTAGAAAAACACGCATTATCTCAGCACACCTATAACTAAAGGGATTAAAACAGTAATTAAGATTCTACCTTCAAAAAGAAAAAGTACAGGACCAATTGGCTTCATTAGTGAATTATTTTTCTTTTTTTTTGAGTTGGAGTCACACTCTGTTGCCCAGGCTGTGTGCAGTGGCAAGCTCACAGACATCACAGACTCAGCCTGCTGGGATCAGGCAATCCTTCCACCTCAGTCTCCCAAGTAGCTGGAACTACAGGCATGCACCACCACGCCTGGTTAATTTTTTGACTTATTGTAGAGACAAGGTCGTACTA